CCAACCCCTTCTCTTCCACTCTCCTCCTGGTATCATGGGCAGGCATGCACATATGTCATATGATTTCCAAGCCACTGGGTCTGGAACTTGAACTATGGGTGGTCATATGGGAATCCAGTGCCTTATCAACCACACCACTTGCTGGCCTCCATCGTGTCATTTTTAATGTATAGGCCTTTGTCCCTATGCTTGTAATCTCAAGGTCAGAAGTTGGCCACTCTACATTCAACCTAATATGTATGGTCCAGGTAGGAAGAAGGAAGGGAGTGAAAGACTGAAAAAGACGTATAAGTGGAGTATGCCTCCTTAAAGAAGGTTTTTCTTGGGGCCAGCAGGTGGCGTGGTGGTTATGGGCAATGAACTCCCACATGGCTGACCACAGGTTGAGTATCCTACCTGGCAGCTTACTTTCTCACTTTCTCTCTCTCTCTCGTACTTGTGCCCTGTAACAAATTTTAAAAATAATAATAAAAATAAATAAAATTAAATTAAAAAAAAATACACTAAGCACCCATGCCAAAAAAGAGAGAACAGGATTCAGAATACATTTTAAATTATAGAAGAATCTCTGGAGAAAAAATAGCAATGGAATGACAACAGATGTCAGGTATTTCTCTAGGAGAAGTAAGTAGCTTTGTAACTGGGATGAGGGCTTTCAGATTCTTGACTTTGTTGCAGGAAAGAATTAATGAATGAGTCAGATAACTGAACCAAAGAGAGTTTTTAAGGAAAGGTGAGAATGCACCCCATAGATAGAACTGATTGTCCTTAGAAAAGAAAGCATTAGGAGTCTCTGGGAATCTCCCTTTAGGGGAAGATTTACATGCATAGTCATAAAAGGGTTGGATTTTTAGGGTTTAGGTGTGGTCTCACAGACCCTTGTAAGGGTTGCATTTCAGCAATTCACATACACCTTCATACCTAAATATCTTCACAAGTCCACAAATATTCCTTAGATTGTAGTTGCAGGGAATTAATATCACCATCATAAAGCAAGTTCTTGTTACCCATAATGATTTGTGATTCAGGGGTCATGGCTCTAGCTTCAGCAGCTGAGATGAGATAATCTATTACCTCTCACTGTTTGGCTCTTCTTTCTGTCTTATGAATTGATGGCATTGTAAAAGAAAACATAGAGCCCCAGGGTAAACCTACATACTACACATTTGGGGTTACTCTTGATAAAGTCTCTGCTGTCTATTGAGTTTTTCCAAATGATAGTCAAGTAACATTTCTTTATAAATTGATTTCAATTTTAGTCCATCACTCACTACGAAGCAGATCTTCACTAGGCTGAGTGGGTGTAATGCTTGTGAGGTTGGACAAGATTCCCACTACGTTCTTGTATAAGATGTGGTGGAATACCATGGTACATGTAGACTGGACTGATGGTTATAGGCTTGGGGATTGCCAGCACCATGGTGTCCTGGGCTGCAGAGGTGAGACAAGATGCAGCCATTGTCACCATGCTAATGATGGGGGCTGGTAGCAGACAACTCTTTTATGCTTTCATGGTGCCTAGCAGAGTCCAGTGTACATGTCATGTAGTTAATGAGTAACTGCCAGAAGAGGAGGTTTCTGGGCTATATAACTGATAGTGTGAGAAGAAAAAGAGTTTTGGGGTGATCCTGCTCCAATTGCTATAAGAGTATCCCAAATGAGCAGTTTTCTGTCCCCCATAAAATTTCTTAGCATGAGTCACAAAAATTGAAATGATTGATTTTTGGCTTGTTTTGTTCCACAGAAGTGTGACTATGGACTAATCATTTTTGGGTTAAATCAAGGTGCTGCATTCTAACTGGATATTCAATTTATTTTCAAATTCCCTCTCCTCTCAAGTCTTACTTAGTTTCTCCCCCATTCTAAGTCACTACTCAGTCAAATAAAATTTTCTTGACTATATTTCAAGGAATTCAAAAATATGTAAAATGTAAAAACCTAAAGAATATAGCTAAGATGAGAGAAAAGTAAGTTTTGACGTAATTATCATTTCTGATACAATTACATGGACAAACTTCACCTAGTAATATGTGTTATAAACCATAAAAATCCATGCAAGTGACAAAAATGCCACCACACATTTGAACATTTTAATTAAGTAATTCGGACTATAATGATGATGGAAAATATATTTTAACAAAGGAAAATGAAGCATGGAAAACAAGATAGCTGAACTGAAAGCTATCTAAATAAAAAAATCATAAGTCTCAGGTTAAAGTTCTGATGTAAGTACATGCTCAAACACCTCCTTTGTGCCAGTCACCATGATGGGCTCTGGGAGGACAAAAGCAAAAAGACATAATCCCTCCCATGGGAACTCTTACTTAATTTTGTATCACCAAAAATATCACTTTAATTACTTAATTAAGATACCAGCATTGGTGGTATGTTTACTTTCACTTAAGAATTTAAGGATATTGTGTCATTTTAAGATAAAATTATAGCCATGGGTCAGCAGAGGGAATGATGGTTAACTGCCTCATGACCAATCATAATTCAAGTCCCAGATTGGTGGCTTGAACATTACACTGGGCATATGTATGTGTGTGCCCAAAATCCCAGGAGGAAAATGGAAGAGAAGGGATTGTGACATGGTCATTCCCTCCTGGGGGTGATTTCTCATTTTCCCTCTCTGCTTCTTTCTCTCTCTGACATGTGCATGCACCCTATGACAAAAACTTAAGAAATAAAAAAAAAAGAAGAAATTATTATGGCCACACATAATTTTGAAAAATACACTTTATTCAAGAATATAAACAATTTAATGCATATATTTGGTTACTCACTAATAATTATTTTAGGTCTGTCAAACGGATACACATGGTCAACATTTCGTATTTTCATAAAGGATGATGCTTGCTGTTTTTTAAAATTATTTTATTTAACTGTATTTATATATGTACTTATTTTTAATTTGTTAAGTATTATGTTTGTCATTTATTGTAAATGTTAAGCTTATGAAAAATTGCCAAACCTTGAAATAAGCAAAAGCTATTCCTTCAGTAGTTTAAAATATTATATAGTTGAATATAAATTTTACTATCTTAGTAGTAGTAAAACACAAAGATGTTTAATAAAAATATTGTCATCAATAGATTTTTATAAAATCTACAGTGTCAAATAGACAAAGCAGAATAAAGGTGCTGGCTTCTAGGGGTCAGATGAAGTGGAAATGAAACCTGGGGGAAGTTTCATTCATAAAAGATGTATTAATGATGCAGTTGTCAAAACTAATGAAGAAAGGACAGAACTCGAATGAATATTTTACAGGAAGCTGGATCATTGAGAAGCTGGACAACAGAAACATTTCTGCACATGAGAAGCAAGGATTAGAAGGAAGTTTGTCCAAGATGATGAGTATATCAAAAGTCATAGTTCTGTAGAAGCCAGAGCCAAAAGGACATGGTGTGCAACAAACATGAGGGACATTCATTCTTTGACATTTTTAAAAGTTTATTTCTTCCAATGGAGAAAGAGAGAGACAGAGAGACAGACAAACAGAGATAGGCTTAATAAAAGCTTTACACTATGATCTATCCTCAGTCTGACCCAGCCCAGATCACAGGCACATGCAAGAATGCATGCCTGGGGTGCTCAGGAAGGTTCTGGAATGGGATGTGAACCCAGGACCTTTCCCACGTGGGTCCAGTTGCATTATCCTGTGCCACCACCTAGCCCTCAGTTATTGAAATTTTAATGTAAATTATGTGTCTTATCTAGGCTCTAGTAGGTTAGAGGACCTTCTGGCCTTACTATGGTAACGTGGATGCCCAACATATGTTGTGGTTCTGTCCACATTTTCTGTAGAAAATGTTTTAGTTAGATAATTATGTGAGAACTATGATCTATTTCACTTCCTAATGCAAAAGTGCTTTGCTTTAAGTTAACTCTGTATATAAAAATCAGAATTTCAAAAATAAAACTATTAGAGGTCAAGTTATTCTCTTTACAAATATTGGCTTTATTATTATTATTTTAAATTATTCTTGCCTTCTAACAAATTTTATTATCTGCCTAGGCATGTAAGCATTTGAAGTTCCATAATTTCTGACAGAAGGATCTGATTTGAGAGTTGTGTAGGACATCTCTCAGTGTTTTATACCAGTTGAGAAATGGTCAATCTATGTATCATCTGGTCTTATGACTAGCAGGTCTAGTGTTTGAGCCTATTGTTTGGAACCAGAGAAAATTGTTTCCTCATTTCTCTGTGTAGCTCTTTAAAATGGATCCCTATCGAAAGAGAGACTTGAAGGATGACCCTTGCTTATTCCCAGAGATGTCATCTCTAAATGTGAAAAATCTTCCTGGACTGAAAGTAGAAAACAGTAAATGTCAGGCTGTATCACTTTGAATTATTGGCAGCTTTCTTTAACAGTACTCTATATAATATATCCATACTCACATTGAATATGCAGTAGTAATACAGTAGGAAATACATATAGAAATGAAGGATCCAAAAAAACATTTTTACATAACTAAGGTAAACATTCACTAGGTTTTAAAGTGCTCTCCATTTAGATGTTGTCTGTCTTTATCTCTCATCCTTTCTCCAATGGAAGCATTTGGGCTACCTAACCCAGGATCCACAGCTTTCTGTCACATTTCAAAAGAAAGCTTAAACCTAATGTCCTTACAACTCCTATCTTCTGTCTCAATTAGAGTAATGAGATTATTCTTCACTCCCATGTAAGTTCCACCATTGCTGTTACATTCAAATAAAACACAATCTTCAGACTCCCATTGAAGGACAAAGTAGGCTTGCTCTGGCAACCCAGTTTCATATTTCTGGAGCTAAGGAAACAAGAAAAAACAAACAAACAATGAGTGGGAAATCCAGAGCCAACTTTACCTTTCTGTTTAGAACCTAAATGGAAATGATTATTTATGATTTAGTATTTCTAGCAAGCCTGATTGCTGAGTAGAAAGGAGGAAGGAAGAAATGAGGGGTGGGATTTGACTTGATGTGGTTCACTGATAGCCAGGTATACTAGAGAGGCAGTAAGGCTTAGAACAATTGGATCTGGAGCAGCATTTCTGGACTTATACCCCTTCTTTGTCATGTATAATCTCTGAGATGTTGGACATGCTGCTTTATCTCCTAAGCCTCAATTTTTAATCTAGCCAATTTTCTAGATTACTCAATCCCTACCTTTTCTGTAGATATATGATTAATATAAATTATTTTTATTATTTATTTTTAAAGGTTTTTATTATATGGTGCATGAGCTCACCAGAGAGACAGTGAGAGGAAAAGTGATAAATCACCCCCCTCCCTGGGCTGGTCATGCTATAATCCCTTCTCCTCCATTCTTCTCCTGGGATTCTGGGCATGCATGCACATGTGCCTGGAGTGATTTTTCAAGCTGCCAGGTCCAGAACTTGAACTGCTGTTGACCATGTGGGATTCTAGCACCTTAACCACTATGCCACTTGCTGGCCCCAACTATTATTATTATGTTAAGCCATTAAGTTTTGGGGATGGTTTGTTATACAACAATAGCTGACCAATATATTAACTCCATCATAGCATACTGTGAAAATTAAGTGAGCATGCTTGTGAAACATTTAACACAGTGTTTGGTATGGAATAGAGAGGTTAGTATGAGTCAGGTTTTGTTACTGAGTAGTTAATTATATCAGACACTATTTATGTACACTGAGGAATATCTTGTTAAGGAATATGCTTATTATGTTTAGGTTGATAGTGTCTTACACAATTATACACATTAATTTCCCTTTTTGAGTATTTATATAATTTATTGTCTATATTATACTCTTATGTTTCCTTCCATGTCTCTATTTGGGCATGTTGTTTCTCAAAATATTTGTGATTCCTCATCATGATCAATATACTGCCTTACTAAGAAAAAATATGTGGTAAATCCTATGATTAGAATGTAGTTTTTGTTTGTTTGTTTATTCGTTTTGGCTATAATGCATATGCGCTCGCCAGAGAGACAGAGAAAGACAGAGAGACAGAAAGCAAGAATTCACCTTCCAGGGGGGATGTCCATGCTACTACAATCCCTTCTCCTCCACTCTCCTCTTGGGATCTTGGGTATGCACACACACTCACCTTAAAACTCGGAGTTTTAAGCTGCTGGGTCTGGGACTCAAACAGTACTTGACTACATGGGAGTACAGTGATGTAACCATTATGCCATCTACTGGTCGCAGAATGTAGATTTTTATGCCACCTGTAGATCTTGGCATATGGAAATGTTTATGACCCTCCTTCTAGCTGGCTTGAAGTGTAAGATTTTTGTATTTGCCTAAGAAAACCGTATTTCACAAAGAAATACTTTATGAAAGGAGATAGTAGTCCCTAAAGTCAAATAGAAATGATTCGAGATCATTCTGTGCAGCAGTGCTTCTCAAACTTTAACATGCATGAATCTCTTAGAGTTTTGCTAAAATACTGATTCCAATTCAGTTGTGCCCGAAATTCTATATTTTGAACAAGCTTGCAGGTGATTCTGTGCTGATGATGGAGAGCAGACTTTCAGTAGCAAAGCCACATATGTCACTTCTCTCCCTTCTCTATTCCAGAGGCAATTCATTAGTAGTAATTATATTTTATGTACGATAGCACAAAGAAAACTCCTGCAAAACTCCCCACTCTATGCAAATGGGTGGAGTCAATTATGACAGTTATATAATTGTATTTCAGTTACCTCCACAGAGCGCTTTGTTTTGTTAGCACACATCCAGAAGTTTTCCATAGGACTCAGGCTTACCATTAACTTGTTCATATCTCTGGAAAAACCTTATTGAGAAATTATAAATGATAAAGTTAGGAAGTATAACCCATATTTATTTAAGCAAATTTAACACCCTAGAAAAGCATCTAAGATGTGTAAAATAACTACTTCATTCACTAACAGATCTTTTAGAAATATTTATACCTAAATGAAAATGAAGTATCATTGGATAAATGGAAGGTATTTCTAAACCCATTGAATGAGAGAGATTAGATTTTTATATGCTTTCTAATGAGTACTTCTCTGGATCACAGCTTTTCTGTCTATATATAAGGCCATTGTTAGTTGTCTCCCCAAATTCAACTCCTTTTCCTACATAATAATAGAACATTTCTAAGCCTGCCTTCTTGTGACTCAGCATAGCTATGAAACTTAAGTTCTGACCAGAGTGAATTGAATGGAAAAACTGACAGGTGCAATCTTCAGATTGGGCCATTCAAGGGGAAGAGAATGTATGTGTCTATCTCCCTTCAATTGGACATTGTCATGGTGGCAAGTTATCTTGAACCATGTAAATGTTGGCAAGTCATCAGATAGGAGAACCTGGGTCCCTGGACATACTGTTGAGCAGAACTACTATTCCAGTCCTGGCTAAAGGAAAAATAAAGTTGACCTAGTTTGTGCCATTGCAATTTTGGATCTCTGAAATGTAGTAAAACCTTAATTGTAACTTTTTAAAAAAAGAGAGAGATTTTTGATATAGGGCTTGTGTGCTTGCTGGAGAGACAGAAAGGTAAAAAACAAGAAATCACCCCACCCCATGGGGGTGGCCACACCACAATCCCTTCGCCTCCATTCTCCTCTCTTGGGATCTTGGGCACACATGCACATGTGCCTGGCATGAATTTTAAGCCACAAGGTCCAGGACTCAAACCCAATCAACTACATGGGCGTCCAGTGACATAACCATTACACCATTTGCTGGTCCCTGAAAGTTTTTTGTTGTTGTAGACAGCTACTGCTAATGTGTAATAGGTGACCACTGCCTTATTTATGACAAAATAGAAATGTCTCACATTTTTTATGTGTACAATATTTTAATTGATCTCCAGAACTCAGACCATGAATGGCTGACAGGATATTTTTGTTGGACAGTCCTGATTTAAGTAAGACTGGCAGTGATTAAATGAATTTTTTTTTTTTAACAGCTAGAAATTTTTTCCTTTAATAAAAAAATCCCAGACACACTTTGAAGTCCTAGAGTAAACCAGCAACAGAAGGAAGTAAAGCCCCCCCGGGGGCCATGGAGAGCCAGCCTCATCAGGAAAGCTCCAGGCTTCACACTTGATATTGTCAGGAGCCCGCTTAAAAAATAAATTACAAAAGGCTGTTTTGGGAAGAGACAGTGGAATTGTTTTTCCTCAGGTGCAGCAGGAACTGGGCAGACTACAAATCAGTCCTAGCGCTGGCTGCCTTGGGGGCGTATTTAGGCATCAGTTCATGTATCTTCCGGATGTAGTCGGACTTTTCTGCGCAGCCTTTGCATGTCTCCCCCCAGTCGTCCAGGATCTTCTTCAGCTCTTTCACTCGGAGCTTCTTCAGGTCCACTGTGCTCAGGTCGATTTGCTTGTCATATTTGAGCTCACAGATCTGGCTGTCCTTCCTGAGCTTCTCACAGATCTTCTCTACAGGGATGTGGTGGGCCAGGGGCTTTGACACCTCATTGATGATCTTGGTGGCCGCGTCATCTGTGGCCCCTATGTAGTAGCACAACCGATTCTCTTTGCCTCTTGCTTCACGGCAGAATTGTATAAGTTCTTTTTCAATAGTGGCTGGTGAGAATGTGACACCTCTGTCTTTGAGATCCTGGTAAAATCTTCCCAGATAAGAAATACAAACTTCGCAGTCACCTGGCCGCAGCGCCCGGCCGCCCGGCAGCACCCTCAGAGCCAGCGCCACCACCAGCCCATGCTCGGCCCACATCCTCCTACTCCGCTGCCGCCGACCGCCGACTCAATGAATATATGTTATTTTTTAAATTGTAATAGTAATTTCAGTAAATGCTACCACTTTTTCCATTTCTAAAGATATAATCGGTAATTCATTAGTGATGCTCATCTTTCTGCAAAGATGGTGAATGCCATCTCAAAGCCTACTGGAGACTGGTTTTATTTAGGCTTTTATGTAACTGGTTATATGAATATATAAATGATGGAGAAATCCCTTCACTTCTCAAAACTAAGCAGACTCATGGTTGGCCATGTGGGAGTCCAGTACCCTTAACCACCATGCCACCTGCCAGCCCCAGTGATGCTCATCTTTCTACAAAGATGGTGAATGCCATCTCAAAACATACTGAAGATTGGTGTTTTGTTTAGGCTTATATAAAACTGGTTATATGACTATATAAATGTTGGAGAAATCCCTTCACATCTCTAAATCAAGCAGACTCACCTGTGTTTTAATTTGTGTTCATTATCCATTAATGGCAAGAGCTGAAGATAAGGTAGTGATGTCTACTTTATATATTTGGTCACAACTCAATCCAAAACACTGTCTTTTACTTACTGAAAGTCATTTTAGTGTGGTTTGTGTATACTATCAAATACAGAATATATAAAATTTTACATATTTTATAAATGATTTATAAGGTCACTTTTGAAAGTCAATGTGACAAGATTTATTAGCAAGTTAAATTTTACCTTTGAATTCTATTATCTAAGTCAAACTAAGTTATATTTCAGGATTGTTTTTAGACAACTGTCCAAAACCACATAGAAACTGAAAAACTACTATATATGTGTGATTGGTAGTGTTGCTTTTGCCAATTTATTAGAAAGATTAATGTAAAGAAACTATACCATCAGCATAGATTTGTAAATTATGTCATCATAAAACTTAAGATAAATTAAAAATTAAATGACTATCACGAAAAAAAAGAATTGATGCATTACAGCTATTCAGCTCTCCAAATTACCTTCTTCATTTGAGGGGTGTTGAGAATCATAGGGATGCAGTAACATCTTGTCTGGAAGAGATTGCATAAAATCCTTTTGATGAGATATAATTTTATCAAAAGTTTTCCATTTCAACAAATACATAACATCAACATATATATAATTTCTTTTTTTTCTTTCTTTCTTTTTTTGGAGAGGTTTTTGCTATAGGGTGCGTGGGCTTGCCAGAAAGAGAGAGACAGAGAGACAGAGAGCAAGAAATCACCCCCCGGGGGGATGGCCACACCGCAATCCCTTCTCCTCCATTCTCCTCTTGGGATATTGGGCATGCACGCACACGTGCCTGGTGTGAGTTTAAGCCACCAGGTCCAGGACTTGAACCACGGTTGACTACATGGGAGTCCAGCAACATAGCCATTACACTAACTGCTGGTCCCTATATACCATTTCTTATTATAAAAACAAACATTTATGATTTTGAGAAAGTTCTCAAAAATGTATGAACATGCTCAGATGAATTCTCCAGCACAATTGTTACTAAAATATTGAAAATGTTATTCCTAGCATTGACCATTCTTTTCCTTTCTTTCTTTTTTTTTGGTATAGGGTGTGCACACTCATCAGAGAGACAGATAGAAAGTGAGAGATCTCTCCCCAGGGGGGGATGGCCATGCCACAATACCCTCTCCTCCATTCTCCTCCCAGGATTTTGGGCATGCATGCACATGCACCTGGTGTGAGTTTTAAGCGGTCAGGCCTGGAACTCAAACCATGGTTGACTACATGGGAGTCCAGCGACATAACCATTATACCATCTGCTAGTCCCAGCATTGACCATTCTTTCACTAAAGGTTTTACTTTGGTGATACTGATAGGGCTGGAAAAATCTGGTAGATAATTTAGCTATAGCAAATACATACGGCTCCTCCTTTTCATCTTTCACTACAGATACCATTTCCCATTATCAGCATTTTTCCCAGATGACCTCTGACAGAGCTTTTGAATCTTTTTCAACATCATGATGCTTAGACATCCACTGCTAATGCATTGGAGTTAGCATACAGCATGAAATTGTCATGCCCAAGTTTTCCCATTTTTCATGGTTTGGGAGATTTATTCTTTACTAGCCATTATTTACATTGCTAGTCAAACATTATATCATCGCATCATTATACACAAAAGGAAATACTCTACCTTTCTTTTGGTCTTTCATCAAGTCTTCAACATACATCACATACTGTCCTTCCTCCTGAACAATTTTAATGAACTGATCGTCATATGTGCTCAGGAAAGCAGAGAAACCTGTAAGGAGTGAAATTCCTGACACTAAGAATTAAATTCACTATTGGCTCAACTGCAGTAGTGCACAGTAGACACGGCTGCTTGGCAGGATGAGACCAAACGGGAAGCCTGGCTTTGATTCCTAGCTCTTCCTAAAAAGCCAATATAGTGGCATACTCATGTAGTCCCAGTTACTTAGGATGCTGAGGGCGGAGAATTTTGACAGAGGAAGATCCTGTCTAAAAAAAAACAGGATCCACACCCACACATATACCCTGTGATTTTTATTTAAAAAAAAAGGAAAACATTTGTTTCCATAAATAATTCTTTTTTTAAAAAAAGAATTACTTATTTATTTAATTTTATTTGTTATTATTATTTTTTAATTTGACCACCTGTTGGAATTTGGGGCACTCATGCACACGCGCCTGCGAGAAAGCAACCCGCCAGGTCCAGGCCTCAAACCACAGCTGGCCATGTGGGAGTTTAGCATCCTTAACCACCATGCCACCCCACCTGCTGCCCCTCCATGAATAATTCTTTTGGCAAAAAAAAATTTATGTGTCACCTTGAAGTATTCCCCCCCCCACCCCCCGTTTAACTACATTTTGTCTGTCACTGTTGAATAGATGAAAATCTTTGGTATATGTCTTTGCTCAAAGGCTGAGGTATGACACCTGCATGGGATTAAAGGTGATAGTCTCCTGAATGAAGGCCGTGGGAGGCCATATTAGTGTACTTATGGGATGGTTTGGTAGGAGGAAAAAAGAAAGTGGTAGACACTGCCTGAGGAAATCTCCACTTTCTGGCCCTTCATGGTCTAGGGGACTGTGGGAAAAAAGGAACTCTAAATTGATACATGTAGACAAGTGAAAATTCATCTGAAAGGTGTGGAATCATTCCTAGACTTCCAGTAGTCCTGGAGAATGCAGGTGTGAGCCCCATTTTGTCCTCTGAGTAAACAACAGGGACATTTAGAGCAATGTTCCCAACTTTTTAAAAATGCCATAACACACATAGTTAGTGATAATACTTTTGCAGCATGCTGAGATAAACTGAAACAGATTTAGAGACCATCTATATAAAATCATTATATTTTCTTTACATTATTTAATTATGCTAAGAAAAATAATATATAAAATATTAAGGAAAATGTTAATTATTAAATTGGTATATAAACCTTTAAAGGGATTTAAAAATACTTAATGATAGGACTACAGGTGGTATAGTGGTTAAGGCACTGGACTCTCACATGGTTGACCACAGTTTGAGTCCTGAATCTGGAGGCTTGCTTTCTCACTTTCCCCCCTCTCTCTGGTTAGCACACGTGCCCTATAGCAAATTTAAAAATGATAATAAATAAAATTAAATAAATACTTCTTTAAAAAATACATAATGAGAAACTTTAGTATTACTTCTAGAGAATTAATGATATTTATATCAAGCATAATACTTGAAACAGCAACACACAATTTCCTGATAAATTTTTCTTTGTGATAATCTCTTCATGTCATTTTTTTAGAGGTTTTTCCTATAGGGCATATGCACTCGCCAGAAAGACAGAGACAGACAGAGAGACAGAAAGCAAGAAATCACCCGCCCGGGGAGATGGCCACACTGCAACCCCTTCTCCTCCATTCTCCTCTCTGGATCTTGGGCGTGCACGCACACGCGCCTGGTGTGAGTTTAAGCCACTTGGTCCGGGACTCGAATTGCAGTCAACTACACGGGAGTCTAGTAGCATAGCCATTAGGCCAACTGCTGGTCCCAATTTCTTCATGTCTTGATAATCAGTATAAACTTGGAACTTTGCACAGATAGATGATAAAATTTAAAACTATTTTGGGGCCAGCAGGTAGCATGGAGGTTAAGGCACTGGACTCCTGTGTGACTGACTGCAGCTCGAGTCCTGGACCTGGCAGCTTGCTCTCTTACTTTCCTTCTCTCTCTCTGGTCAAATTAAAAAAAAATAATACATAAAATAAAATAAAATAATTCTTAAAAATTTTAAACTACTTTATTTAAAGTGTATTGTGTCAAAATTATATTTTAAAATACGAGTTTCCCCTTTTCTTTCATGGTCAGAATTTTGAAATGTGGAGAGATAATCTGATTTGTTTCCCCAAGGGATAATATATTTTTATATTTTTGCCACAATCTATATGGAATTCCAATTCATAGCAAACTTTTTAAAATAACAAGAAGAGTTACATTGTTAAAGCTGCTATGCTGAACCTAGAATGGGCACATCAACTACAAATGGACAGGTTTCTGATACATGTGAGACACAGACTTAGGACTAGTACCTCAAGTAGCACTTGCCAGGGTTCTGTGTCTAACTCCCCCTACACCCCTAAATACCCCTGTGACCCGTCATACCTCTGCCGCTTGTAATGTGTTCTCTATAAAATCCAGGTGTGTCAGAAGCCAAGCGTGCGATAGCAGCTTGTTGAGGGGCAGCAGCGAATACAGGTTCTTTGTGTTTTCTCCCTGCAGACGGGGTATGGGCAGGAATAGATCATCAATTCCTAATATGCACAAATGACCCTTAGAAGATTCCCAGTTGAGGTGCTTGTAGACAATGGTGACTGACTCAAAGGTGAACATCCCATGGTCTAAGGGGATAAATACCTACTACTGTATTTATAGCTTAGTAGGGCAAACCCTTTAGAGACCAGGAAGAAGAAAACTAGTCACCCTTTGTCAAAATACCCAAAAGGCAAGCACTAATAACATTTTAGTTTATGTCATTTACATAAAAAATAAATCACTTAAAAATACTGTAAATATATTTATTGATATATATATATATAATTTTGTATCTTCTGTTTTCACTTAACAGTATAACTGTTAAATTAAACTATTTTGGCCTAAAGCAGCCTCTGTACTCCTACATTTTGATGCCTATGGATAAGCCTAAATTGCACATGTTAGGCTGTTTTTTTCTTTTAGTTGGTTGCTAGGTTATAGCCAATCACAGCAGCTAGGCTTCAGTTAGTCACAGACGTTTGCCTTTTAAACCATATTAATACAGACAAACTTCAGAATGTAACCAATGATTTCTCTACCTCACTGCCTCACTTATGTTTTTTTGTAGGACACTCCTTTTCCACCAACTTAAATGCCAAGTTGACCACGAGTCTGGCTGGAGTTGTCCAGAAGTCTGGGGACAACTGCCCTGATTTAAATCATGTTAAGATTTGCTCTATTAAAACTCTATTAAATTAGCTACTTTATTTTTCTTTTAACATAACATAACCATTTATCTCATGCTATTAAAAACTCTTTATGTTCTTTTAATTTTAAAATTCTTTTTAATTGGCATAATAATGGTACACATTTATGGGGTACAGTGTGCTTTTTTAGTACACATATAAAATGTATAATGTTCAAATCAGAGTAGTTTTTAATATTTATAATCTCAAACATCTATCTTACTTTATACTGGCAATATTAAAAATCCTTCCTTTAGCTATTTTGAAATATACAGTAAACGTTGACTATAGCTACCCTCCTGGGCTGTAGAACACTAGAACTTTTGTTTGTTTGTTTTTTAGAGGTTTTTGCTTTTTGCCTAAGGTTGTGTCTGCTGATCAGAGAGAGAGAGAGACAGAGACAGTGAGAGGGAAAGTGATAAATCACCCTCCCAGGGGGGCATTGCCATGCTGCAATTCCTTCTCCTGGAATCTTGGGGATGCACACACATGTGCTTGGCAAGATTTTCAAGCCACCGGGTTCAGAACTCGAACTGCTGTTGTGAAAGTCCAACAATGTAACTGCTTTGCCATCTGCTGGTCCTGAACTTATTCTGTTTGTCTGTAATTTCATATCTGTTATCCAACATCTTCCTGTCTCCCTATCTGCTACCCTCCTAGCCTCTGGTAGTCACTCTTCTGCTCCCTACTTATATGAGGCCAACTTTTTAGTTTCTACATATGAGTGAGAATATAATATGCCATTTTAAAAATAGCTAAAAATCAATTCATCATCTTTACTCTTTCCAGAGGAAAATTTGAGTGAGAATTATAGATTTAGAAGTGGGGGCCCAGAGTTAGCATAATGGCTATGTCACTGGACTCCCATGTAGCCGACCACAGTTTGAGTCCCGGACCTGGTGGCTTAAACTCACACTGGACACGTGTGTGTGTGTGCCCACTATCCCAAGAGGAGAATGGAGGAGAAGGGATTGCAGCGTGGCCATCCCCCCTGGGAGGTGATTTCTCGCTTTCTGTCTTTCTATCTCTCTGTCTCTCTCTGTCTTTTTGGTGAGTGCACATGCCCTATAGCAAAAAACTTATCAAAAAAAATATATATATATATAGAAGTGGTAAGTAAACGCAAACAGATGCCTATTGCAATTCCTAGGAAATGTAATTTCCCACACCTGTTTTTAATGCAGGTACTTTGGTGGTTTTCTTGCTAAAGCAATAGACTTCCTTTCGTATGGTACGGCCAGAGCGCAGCTTCAAATAGTCCATATGGAAAATTTCTGTGGTAGTCTGTAAGAATCCTAAATAGTTGAAAAAATTGTGAATGCTGTTTCATTCCATCCATCATTAGCCTTTTATAAATCTTGAGTATAACAGACTAAGAAAGCAAGAACAGGTTCATGTTATCGTATCAGAAATCCAAAGGGCCAGTTGTATATAAAAATTTGGATTATTTTAGATTTTAGAATTATAATGTAGATTTAGAACTGTATTGTTTGTATATAGCACTCCCAGCAGGGACTGGAGCTGTTCTCCTAATAGTAAAAAATTGAATTAATTTTATAGTGAAACAAAAATTTATGCAAAGTAAAATGGAGATCGGATGTTCATTCAGGTCAGGATTTAACTAACAAATTAAGTCAGTCATCTTTTGATGCCAAATGAGTTATGAAATCTTTTGGTCATTAGAAAAAATTTGATTTTCAGAATTCCATATGAGGAGTGTGGACCTACACTGAACATATATTAATCTTTGTCTAACTGAGGGGGAGCTCTTATGGTCACATGAAACCTACAATCTTTTCCACTTATCTGGAATATACTTTTAATAATTTAAGAGAAATAACTGTAGTCTATAAAGATTATAAATATCAAAATAACTACCATTTACTAAGTACCTACAGTGAACCAAACACTGTACTAATACTTTTACATACTTTTGCATTTAATCCTTCTCAATAATTAGGTAGGCGCTATTTTCCCCATTTAACAAATGATGATCTGAGGCTCTTATGAGTTGTAGCATTTCCTAAGGTTATTCCAGGGTTGGTGAGAGATGACTGAATTGTGTCAAAGCTATTTTTTCTACTACCATTCACTCACTTCCACCTAAGAAAATATATATATAGAGCTGGTAAGTAAAAGCAAATAGATGCCTATTGCAATTCCTAGGAAATGTAATTTCCCACACCTGTTTTTAATGCAGGTACTTTGGTGGTTTTCTTGCTAAAGCAATAGACTTCCTTTCGTATGGTACGGCCAGAGCGCAGCTTCAAATAGTCCATATGGAAAATTTCTGTGGTAGTCTGTAAGAATCCTAAATAGTTGAAAAAATTGTGAATGCTGTTTCATTCCATCCATCGTTAGCCTTTTATAAATCTTGAGTATAACAGACTAAGAAAGCAAGAACAGGTTCATGTTATCTTATCAGAAATCCAAAGGGCCAGTTGTATATCAAAATTTGGATTATTTTAGATTTTAGAATTATAATGTAGATTTAGAACTGTATTGTTTGTATATAGCACTCCCAGCAGGGACTGGAGCTGTTCTCCTAATAGTAAAAAATTGAATTAATTTTATAGTGAAACAAAAATTTATGCAAAGTAAAATGGAGATCGGATGTTCATTCAGGTCAGGATTTAACTAACAAATTAAGTCAGTCATCTTTTGATGCCAAATGAGTTATGAAATCTTTTGGTCATTAGAAAAAATTTGATTTTCAGAATTCCATATGAGGAGTGTGGACCTACACTGAACATATATTAATCTTTGTCTAACTGAGGGGGAGCTCTTATGGTCACATGAAACCTACAATCTTTTCCACTTATCTGGAATATACTTTTAATAATTTAAGAGAAATAACTGTAGTCTATAAAGATTATAAATATCAAAATAACTACCATTTACTAAGTACCTACAGTGAACCAAACACTGTACTAATACTTTTACATACTTTTGCATTTAATCCTTCTCAATAATTAGGTAGGCGCTATTTTCCCCATTTAACAAATGATGATCTGAGGCTCTTATGAGTTGTAGCATTTCCTAAGGTTATTCCAGGGTTGGTGAGAGATGACTGAATTGTGTCAAAGCTATTTTTTCTACTACCATTCACTCACTTCCACCTAAGAAAATGCTACATAGTAATTTGGGTGACTAATAAAACACAAGTCAAATTAATTTGGTTTAAATTTTAAAAATCAGTCAGTATTCTTATTTCACTTAGCCAAAGGAATTTAAAATCCCAAATTAAAAATTAAATTTGTTACTTGAAAATTATATAAAACCTTTAAGAGTTAGATAGAAAAGAAAATCATAATACATGTGTCATAAGATTCTCAATTTTCTGCATTATAGTAAATTAATTATCAAGCAATTTATAAAATATAATCAAATGCCAATTCACAATTATTTTCAGAAGAGAAGATAATTATTAATGACTTTGAGATCCATTATGTGATTTTTAAAAATTGTATGTATTTGACTTCCTGGAACAATGTTTTTAAAAGTCAAGTGGAACAAACATTGTTGGCTAATATTTTTAATTATCCATACCCTATCTTCAATTTAGATGGTCAGCTGCTTTTAAGTATGAGGCAGTCTTCAAAAAGTTCATGGAAAATTTATATTATTAAAAAATACTATCTGTGGGCTTAAGACTATTTTGCACCAAAATACACTCATATTTTATTTCCATTTTTCTGTGAACTCTTTGGAGTCCTCATATCTTCAATTGTTTGACTAAAGGAAGACCACTTAATTATATTCATATCTACCCTGAAACTCCCAACATTGCTTTATCATTCAGAAATATCAACTAAGTTATCTCATGCTTATAATAGTGCTCTTACAGTGCAAAGATAATTTACAAAGCTAACTAGGGCCAGGCCTGGTGTTGTACTTGGTCTTCTGATAACAAATTTAATACAGTACTTTATTAGTTGTAGCTGTCTCTTCAGAGATAAATGGAAGATATGATACTGTAAACATGCTCATACCTTATCTTTATATTGTAGTCAGCATCATATGGGGAGATGATTGACATGTCTGTTATTGAATGTAGAGTCTATTGGAGCAGGATACAGGTCTTGGGAAGTTAGAAGTGAGGAGGATGATATTGAGTAAGTATTGTGGTTGTAGAAAAAAAGGATTAAGAAGAGAGCTAAAGTGTAGGGTGCAGGGGCTACCATCTAGTGGGACAAGCACTGGGTGTAATTCATAGGGTTGGGTTGAGTTATTTGAAGTACTGAGAATGCTTTGCATTGGCAGAATTTGGAAGAAGATACACTCTGGTGGTCTGGGCATCTTGATGTATAAGGACTGTGTTGTAGGGAGGAAGGCACAGAGCTAGAATGGACATGGAGACTCTGTAGTCCAAGAGCCAGTTCAAGCTTACGTCAGAACTACTCTCTCTCCCATATCTCCAACCTGCCTGCCCTCTGAGAGCAGTAGCCTAGTGTGGTTTTTAAGGAAATTCTCATAGCTAATATAGCAACAGCAAGAGTTTCCCCAAATATTTCTGATGAGAAAAATGGGAATGGAGGGACCAGCAGTTAGCGTAATGGCTATGTTGCTGGACTCCCACGTGGTCGACCGCAGTTCGCATCCGGGACCCCGTGGCTTAAAACTCACACTGGGCTCATGTGCGTGGGTGCCCAAGATCCCAAGAGGAGAATGGAGGAGGAAGAGATTGCGGTGTGGCGATACCCCCAAGGGGCTGTCTTTCGGTCTCTCTTTATCTGTACGTGCTCTATAGCAAAAACCTCTCTCAAAAAAAAAAAAAATGGGAATGGATACTGGAAATGTTCCTATAGTTCTTCACTGGAGAGCCAGCCTATGGCCAACATAAACTACAGAAGTTAATCACTTTATCTTTTATTTTTCCCCAAACAGCTATTTCACCAAGAATACATTTTCTCATGCTTATAACCCTAGACCTATCAGTGGCACTTAACTCTGGGGACCACATCCTCCTTTGAACCTTTGTTCTCGATTGCTGTGTCACTAATCCCTTTAGGTTTTCTTTACTTCTCTCTGATTAGTCCAGGTGTCTTTGTTAGTTCTTCCTCCTCTTCCTCCTCCCAAGACATCAGTGTTCCTTAGGGTCTTTTCTTTAAATGATCTTCTCCCTTCGGTTTGAATTTTCTTTCTGGGAAGTCTTGCTTGTTCCAATGACTTCAATCACCTTTTGAGTGACTGATGACTCCCAAACTGTATCTCTCTGATCTTTATATTTGTTGCTCTTTCTCCAGAAGGCATTTTGATTCAGCTACCTTAAAGCATCTACATCTATATCTATGCATCCTCCTGAATTCTGGGCATTTCTATCTGTATGACCTCATACTAAAATATACCCCCCAATTTTTTTTATATGTTCTTTATCTTTCTCGCCCCTAATATATTTCTCTTGAATTCTCTATCTTAAAAAACAATATAAATATCTACCATTATCTGCCCAATTCTTAAATCAGCAAGCTGAGAATGATCCATTTTCCTCTCTCTCTATTCTTCCATTTTTCAACCAGTTATTAAGTCTTTGTCATTACCATTAAACATTTTTAGTGGTTTCCTACTATTCAAAAGATAAAGTTGAATTTCCTTCACTATAACAGATCTTCCATGGAGAGACTCAAACAAAATAAGTTGATCTCTACTCAGTTCTATCAAAGAATTGTCATGATTGGTTCTATCAAACAATTGCCCAATGTCGCTAGATCTTTAGGTTTTTCAACAGAAACTATACATTTAGATTTTTATGAAACCTTTTGCATTTTTAAAAGTTGTCTCAATTAAATAACAACAAAACATCAGTAACATGTTCAGGCCAAATAAAATACTTCTGCTGAATGTATTTGTCCCAAGGCTCCCATTTTGTAACCTCAGCCTAGATTGATGAATGGAAAAGACTGGGTTGTTAGGAAAAATAAAGTGTTAATAGATATGGGAGAGAGGAAGTAGGAGAGAAGAGCCTGATCCTGGGGAGTAACTTCCTGGATAAAATTGGAAAGGGCTTTCCAGTCAGAAAGGGATGAAACTGGAAAAGGGCTTTCCTCTAGGTCATGAAGTTTTATACCCTGTTGGCACTAGAAGTGAAATGACCTGGGGACTGATTGTATGGTTACCTATAGTGGTTGGATACTGACTTTTGTGGCTTTTGTGGTTGGATCAGATCCTAGTAGTCCAAGGGAGGAGATGAAAGTAATTGTGCTTTCTTGCTTTGTTGTTTGGGAGCTCACAGTAGTTTTTTTAGAAAAGTAAGATGTGACATTCCTTATACTTTAAGTTTTGGGAAGTAGTTCTTACCTGTCACACACTTTATAGGTATCTTTTCAATTTTTCATTAGGAGTATTTAAATAATTACAAATTTAGTATTAATTGAACTGATATTTTTGGAAAGGAAGATCTGCTAAGGGTCAATAAAAATTTATGATGTATTCCAAAAACATGTAACTGACTTGGAGATAATCTTTATCACTGTCTTCTAAATGGTGTAGATAAGCAACTAGGGCCACTTCATCCTTAAAGGAGGGGTAACATCTTTTTTTTTGCGGAGGGGGGGGACTTTTGCTATAGGGCATGTGTGCCCTCCAGAGGCAGAGAGAGACACACAGAGAGAAAACAAGAAATCACCCCCGAAGGGAGATGGCCACCGCAATTCCTTCTCCTGCATTTTTCTCTCAGAATTCTGGGCATGCATGCACACAAGTCTGGCATGAATTTCAAGCCACCAGGTCCAGGACTCAAACCATGGTTGGCCACGTGGGAGTCCAACACCTTAACCACTATGCCACTTGCTGGTCCCAGAGGGGTTACATTTCAACTTTTGCATTAATTCAAGCAAATGTGGCATAAACTCTGGCCTATTACTTAATTTCAGTCTCCATTTCCAGGAGCACAAAGAAAACATATTCTTTTTGAAGAGAGAATTTGGGGATTTGGAGCCACTGAGTCACTTCAACTGAGTCACTGCTTCTGCTCAGAACATTTTGACTCATCTATAGGTTAAAAGACTGACTTAACTGATTGCCTGGCCATTCAGAAATGGTCATTTAGTGTTTTCTCTGGTTACTAAAGAACAGATTGTGTGGTCCAGAGCTTTAGGAAGGACAAATAGGGTCATAAGTGATATTCTTTACTACTACTTTCTCTTCTAGCCGTAAAGATGTTCAGGGAAACAAAGGACAAAGATATGTCAGTCTCCACTATCCTTCATCTTCCATATTCTCTGTAGTCCAGCAGGCTCCATTAACTTTCTTTTGTGTTACTGACCCTAAGTGAAAAATATGCATAAAATTTTGCATGATTCCTTACTAGGTGATTTTAAAAATCAAAGAGGTATATAGTCTTTTCATCTCAAAGTTACAGCCACTGCCTGACTTTACCGTTCATTGTATTTCAAACTCTGAGATTGCACCTGGATAGACATGAGTATCTGCTTTATTTGAAGCCAGGATTATTCAAATATCCTCACTTGTTATTACCTCCTTTATCAATAGTTTGCAAGTCAAGACCACATTCTTAATGCCCAAAGGTCTTCATAAATGAAATTTGTGGAATGAAAGTGAATCAGCTTAAAATTTTGTTAGTTAATTAAGGAAAAGTGAGAATTAGTAGCAAGAAATTTGAACAGAAAGTAGGGGTCGATGTAGAAGACTATAAGTAAATTTATCACTATTTGCATGTTTAAATTATCTGAGCGATTCCTATGCTGTGAAGTAACAAATAAGCAAAAATTGGCTATATATATAGTTTGTTTAAAAGCAAGGGCTGTTGTACAATCTATCTCAGTTGATTTCAGTTCTTGTATTCTTAGTAGCTTCTGGTAAGGTAGCAGATAAGAAAATTAGAATAATAAATGTTTGATAACATGATTAAAAAATAGCATGTAAAACAATCAAGAATGCTTAAGTCCTTACTTCTCAATTTGTTAGATTTTGCCAGAGCTCTGCCTGCTGTACTGTTCGGCTTTCCCAGGGAAATTTGGGTGGTCGGATACTTCATTTTTCAGACTTCTGTCAGATTAAAATATAACAGTAGTTCAATTGTCTTTACTTGAAAGCAAATAGAAACAACAACTGTAGGTAACTATATATAAAATTGATAACATAACTATATACAGAAAATTATTATTTCTGTAAAAGTAAACATAGTATTCTGGCTATATATTCACATTAGAATGTAATCATCAGACAAAAATAACTACAAAGGAATCTTACACTTTACTGAGTGGGTTTATTGTTAGTGTTAATATTGGCATTGGAATTCAGAGGCTGCTTTGTTGTACTATAGTACAGAACAAGTAAGTAGATATATTGATGCTCCCTGATTTTTACTGGGAAGGAAATATAAAAATAAAGTGAAAGAAGCCAAGGGAAAACCCCTGTAATGTTAAAATTTGAGTCAATAATACTAGAATTCCCATATCTTAGTTTCTAAGTTTCTTAGGTCGTCAGGAAAGTCATGACATAATTTTTTTATGTTTTCCTATGCAAAAATGCATCATGACTTTTCTGACAACCAAATACTTTCTCCACTAAAAGGAGCCATACCACCAGCTCAGGATCTGAAGGAGCAGTAATGAACATGGAACATCTCACTGTTCCAGAAAGTAGTGAGTCATTTAGAAACTAGTGAGCTTCTGTAAAATGCATCCATAAGCTGTCTTGAAGGGTCTCCACTGGCCAAATTCATACAATTTAAGTTTCAAAAAGAATAATGATGATAATTGACTATAAAGCATTTAATAGAAAAAATCTTTGAGTTCATAGCCTTTCTCACAAATAAATGAGTGAATAGATAGAGAGGGATCTATTCATTATAGAACACATGCTAGAGTTAGAAAAATCACTATCTGGGGGACCAGCAGTTAGTGTAATGACTATGTCGCTTAAACTCACGCCGGTTGCATGTGTGTGCATGCCCAAGATCCTGAGAGGAGAATGGAGGAGAAGGGATTGTGGCATGGCCATCCCCCAGGGGTGATTTCTCACTTTCTGTCTCTCTGTCTCTCTCTGTCTTTCTGGCAAGTGCACACACCCTATAGCAAAAACCTCTCCAAAAAAAAAAAAAAGAAGAAGAAAAAGAAAGAAAAATCACTATCTTGCAGTCCTGAAATTAATCCTTGATTCAGGCTAGGATAATCAATGGATGCTGTTTCTTGAAGATTATTCTGGATAACAGAATCATAATGAAAGAATATGGAGTTTTCTGTCACAAATTGCAGAAGCTCAATAATCTTTCAGTATAGCAATACAACTTGCTTCATCATCAAAGTTTGGCACTGTTCCGGTGGTCTGCAGAGGGAGCAGGAATTCTCCAGTTTTAAATTCTCTCTGATATTGCTTGGCATTCTGCCAATAATTACGGCTTCCTTTTTAAACATTGGCCTCTTCTTTTGCTATATGTAAAAAAAAAAAAAAAACAAATTTTCCTTAATGGTTATAATCTAAATCTCCTACAAACTTCAATGAATCAGCTCTTCAAGCTGGATAAGAAGGAAGTATTGTATTTTCGTGTTAAAGGGCTCATGAGAAGACAAACTTTGTGCACCTTTATTTTTGTCCCAGAACAACCTTGTAGAGCCTGAAATTCTAAATGATCTTGTCTAGGTGGAGCTGGAATCATATAGGCAGGCTGCCTATTTACAGCCAGTCTCATGAACAAAATCCTTAATGCTGGGTCAGTTGAAGACTCCCTATTCTGTACCTTAAACATGCCATGTAAGTGAGTATTTTCCTTACACAGCTTAAAGACTTCGTATCAGTCCTTACTTTCTCCCTCTGATTCTCCCGCCTTTATTGATCAAGAATATGTAGAAGCAGACTTATACATCATGTTACTGAGTCCCTAACTCTACAGATAAGTAGACTGAGACTCAGAAAAATGAAGTGCCTTTCCCATGATCACGAAGACAGAACTGGGACCAGAATCTAGTCCCCTCACTTCCATCTTTTTTTTTTTTTTTTCTTCCTAAGAGAGATTTGGGGCTATAGGGCATGTGCACTTGCCAGGGATACAGAGAGACACAGAGAGACAGAAAGTGAAAACTCACCCCCCAGAGGGGATAGCCATGCCGCAACCCTTCTTTCTCCATTTTCCTGTCAAGATTTTGGCCACACACGTACATGCTCCAGCCATGAATTTTAAGCTGCTGGATCCCAGACATAAACTGTGGTCAACTACATGGGAGTCCAGCAACGTAACCATTACACTATCTGCTGGTCCCCTCACTTCCATCTTGATGCCAGTAATTCTCCATGTTGTCCCCCCCAGCCTATCTCCCTGCCCTCTTCAACAATTACAAAGAAAGTAATTAGAGCCAAAAATTTAACTTCAGACACTCATCCCTCCTATACACAAAGCATTTGTCTAACTTTTTTGTCATATAATACATTTCTGAATATGGTAGTTAATTTATAAGTGTAACATATATAGTAATCCAGTGTGATAACTATTTGTAGTTAAATTTTAAATTATACAGAAACTATTAATAGTTCAAATTGTATTCTGCACACAGTAGGCATTGTTAACATGAAAACTGTACTGTAGTGAAGTTTTTTGTTTGTTTTCTCTTTTATCTCAAAATATTTATGTCTGCCTGGTCATTAAAAAAAGTTGCATTTTCAAATAACTCTGAGAAATGTTCTAATCTATCTACCTGTATATGTAGCCTATCTTTTGGAGAGCCACAGTTTACATTTGTATAATAAAGGTGTTGGTAGTCATTTATTGAAGAATCACTGCCTTTGTTTAACTAGTTATTTTGAGTAATTGACCTCATAATCTTTTTTCTTCCACTATCACCCCCATGGACTAGTTTGAGAAAATACACTTGAAAGAACTCTGCATAAAGCCAACATTAGCTTGCAGAGTTGATCAAGACAGATAAGAAGCTGACATTGGCGTTAGAGTTATTGATAGAGAAAATCAGCATCCTTTTTAAAAACCACATTAAGTCAAAAGCTTTATTAGGAAATATTTTCTAATTACATTCTAAAAAACAAAGCATTATCCCCAAATAACTTACAAAATTTTTACCTTAATATGTGACCATTATTTTCACACTAACATTTACTCTTTACCTCTTATTTTTCTATCAGAAATATATACAGCAAATATTTTTACACATTGGTTATGATACTTACCTAACTTATAAATGTTGAATAACTGGTCTCAGGTGGTGTGATTTCCTGTAGTTAGTACTTGGCAGTAGTTAATGTAGTTGCATTCTAAGTCTATTCATATATATATATACACATACGCATGGATTAAGCAACATTGGGTGGTGACATCATTTGATGACAAATGAAGTAATAAAAATAGCTAACCGAATGGATTAAGTGTATCTTTTTCCTACAGCCAAATTCTAAACAGTTTTCAGTTTCTTTTAGTTGTAGCACTTACAAAGAGATACACATAATCATTAATTTTTATAAACCCTCTATGACATGAACTCTAATGTTTATTGAACAAAATAGAGTATATAAGGATGCAGATTGTTTAATTGCTTTCTTCTACAGAAAGCTGAAAACTTTTTAAGTATTTTTTTTCTGATTATAAAAATAACACATGTGCACTTACATTTTACAAATATTTTATATTTGAAAATGATGGAAATTCAGATCTTGACATTCTCTTTTCAATGTAGAACTATTACAGACATCTATTCTTCATTTAAACAAATAGAATCAGGAAAAGACACCTTCATGGCTACTGAGAACTAGTGATTTCAGAGAAATGAAGATTTTTCTACTGATAATTCAACTTCCAGCCCACAAACTCCTGTGGAGAGGCAAGGGAGTAGGCCTCACAAGACACCTTCATGGCTACTGAGAACTAGTGATTTCAGGGGAATAGGAGAAGTGAAGATTTTCCACTGATAATTCAGCCTCCAACCCACAAACTTGTGTGGTAGGCAGACTTTCAAGCCTCCTGTCTCTGTCTCTGTCTTTGTCTCTCTCTGCCTCTGTCTCTGTCTTCTCATTTTTTGGTAACTTTTCCTTTTTAAAAAAATTTTAAAGTAAAGCAGTTTCTTGACTTTCAGCCCCTCCTTTCCCTTTATCTTGTTAATAATCCCCTCTCCCCCTCCTAACCCAGGAGAGGCAAGGGATCAGGCCTCAGAAGACACCTTCATGGCTATTGAGAACTAGTGATTTTGCACCCCGCAGTTTTCTAATTTTTGCTTTTTTTAAAAAAAATTATATTTTTAGGTTTTTTTTTTAGTTTTTATCTTCTCTTTTTCTGTTTCTTGGTTGTTTTTATTGCTGTTGTTTCTCTCTCTCTGTTTCCTTTTCTGTATGCTCCTGGACACTCAGATTGAATTTCAAATTTGAGAAGAAACACACTTTACATCAGAAATCACCACAGGACCACAAGAAATATGGGAAAGCAAGAAAATACCTCTCCTTCCAGGGAAAAGAATAACTCCTCTTCATCCACAGATAGTTCAATGGAAATAATAGAAATGTCTGATAAATAATTTAGAACATTCAGAATGGTGAAGCTAACAGAGATGGAAGAAAAGAGAGACAATGGACTAAAGAAGAGAAAGGAAAAAGGAGCTGATGAGTTCCGGGAGGTGAAAAAATTCTTGCAAGATTTAAAAGAGGAATTACACATTTTACAAAAGAATCAAATGGAACTGTTAGAGATGAAGACTATAATACAGGAAGTCAAAATCTCTCTTGCAAGTATTAAAAGCAGACTAGATCATACAGAAAATAGAATCTCAGACATAGAAGAGAAAATTGCTGCCCTAGAAAAATCCACCATGAAGACAGAAAATTTCCCAAAATTTTGAGAATAATAAATGAGTAATACTAGATACCATCAAACGTCCAAACATCCAGTTAATTGGCATCCCAGAAGGCGAAGAGACTCATAAGGGCATTGATAATTCGATGAAATCCTGCAAGAAAACTCCAAACCTAAAGAGGCACTCAAAGATCCAGTCCCAAGAAATACAAAGGACCCCAAATAGAATCAAACCAAGATCTTCTCCAAGACACATTATAGCCAGACTGACTAAAACCACAGACAAAGACAAGATACTAAAGATTGGCAAGAGAGAAA